TTCGACACATTTACATACCTCTAATCTCACAACAAATTTACTTTCTGGATTAAAATCACAATGGATAACAAATGATAGATTAACTTTGTAAACAACATTAACAATAGTGTCCCATGATTCTTTGGTGCAATCCCTGGGCTTGGAAGTTTCCCCTTTAAGGTTGCCTAATGCAGTTTCACCAATGTTGTAGGTAGCCATTTGAAGTTATAAGTTTGAAGTGGAGATACAGGTGTTTTCTTGTGAGAACACATTCTATCATGTTAAATCACTGAAACTGCTTATCTTCAAAAACAGGTTCTCTCCGTCCCCTTTTTGATCACCCAAAAGTGTCAGTCATATCAGGAGCACTATTGCAACATTCACATTGTTGTATTGAAGGCATTGCACACTAGATCTGATCTACAATTTCCTTCCCCACTGAGTTCCTGTTTTAACTCCATAGTCACCATTAACAGTAATGTCACGGTTATCTAAAAATATTCGGTCTCTGGTCCCCATTTATTTTTTCAAATTATCCATATCGCAAATAATACTTTCATAGACCAACTTTCATTGATCAACTTTAATCTGTAACCGACATGTAGGTAGCATACACAATGTGATTTTCTCTTCGCTGCAAGATCTCAGATATTGCATGAAAGGCGTGAATCAAACGTCTGTCTCTAAAAATCTAACGATTGAATTTTTTATAGGTCAATATCGAATTGCTGAGTTGTTTGGGGGTTATTTTAATGCTTAATTGATATTGTGCTACACACTTTTAATGATCAATTTTTATGAAGTAAGGGTATCCCAAAATAGATTCACATTCACAAATCCCATGTGGTGTTTTGACACCGTCGGACACTTACGGCCTTTGTCTCTCCTATGGAACGAAATATACCGTAAAATCTGTATTAGAAGCTGCATCCCTAATTATTAAATTAATAGAAGTCGCACCCATTTTTTTTTGAACAATTGAGAACCGAAAATTCACCATTTCTCATATGCGTAGATGCTCTAATAGAAGCCACGTCCCCCTGTTGCATTGTACCATTTTAATAGAAGCCGCAGCTTCTAATACATATTTTACAGTACTACCCACTCGACTCTTTCTTCCCAGGGACAAAACTGACCCGAGATTGTAATTGTTCCTGAGCACGGAACTCGCTTGGCAATTCTGTACCTTCACAAATTATGCAATGCCAAATTTGATACATTCTTATTGATGTTACCATGCTTGGTTGTCTACTTACGATAGTAATTACTATTAAATTAGTGGTTGTCTTGATTTCATGATCTCTTCATTATTTTCAGAGCAATATGGAAATGGTTGATAAGGTGGTTGATACAATAAAATCAAATGGTATTAAACTAAGTTACCAATCTTATGCTGCTATACTAGAGTGCCTTGGAAGGTTAGTATTTGAGATGAAATCACTAATATTTCTTTTCCTTGACCCATGTGGGAGCCATCTGTGATAGCATGTCTGAATAAAGACTAATGTAATCTGACGAGAAAACAAATTGCCCCAAAATCTTGTGTTGATAGAGATATAGAGGATTCTCTTTCCTTTAATATTGTTGGGGTATGGCACCTCCAACTACATGACCAACTTCCTATGCAATCATATTCATGCAGCTTTTCGCTGATTATCAACCAATTAACCAACTTGTAAGCTGTTGATATATTGGTTGATATACTGCAGGATCTCAACCTGACAACTAGAATAGATCTTACACGCAATATCTTGCTGAGAGTGAAAGACCACAAGACTTGTTTTTGCTTTGTGTTTTATTTTGTTCTGATGTTACAAGAAGAGAATGGAACACTACTTGAGACAAAATCAAGTCCTGTCGCTACCTAATACCTAAGCTGCAGTACCATGGCCACATTTTTAGTCCTCATTCGAACCCAGTCCGAAAACGTGGACTGATGGATTGACCTATGTGCGTGCGTTCGTCATTTTGTTTTTCAGATCTGATTTATAATTGTCAACAGGTGGCCATTTTGTTTTAATGAGTGCAATTTTAGGGCCATATTTCTGACCTTCTTTAACTGATTATATTAACATTTTATATATTCATTATACATCATGTAAGAGATATACAGATGTATTTAAAATGGCCTACCGATGGCCATTTTGTTTTTATTAATGCTTTTCCAGAGCAATATCTCTCAATATGGACATGTACTCCTTTGACGATCAGATACAAGATGACTGAATGTCAATCATTTTAATGTTAAAAAATCACCAAAATCAAACATCAGCTTCTGGATCCATATCTCTGACATGTTTATGTTCCAACTATGTTACAATAAACAAAACTATTATATTTTAAATTTCATGGCTAACAGGGACTATGCCATGCATCAATTGTGTATCAATTAGTACAGTTGGGCAAAAAAACTTGGATTACGTCTTCATGTACACATAACTTCAAAATGGATTACTCACATGTTTCATTTTGTAAATTTGATGAAAAAAGAGAGAGAGAGAAATATAAAATGAAAGGGAAAATTTTTTTTCTTCATTATACTATTGCAATAACTTTTACCTCACTTGTCTGTTTTTTAGAAAACAATCTGTTAAGATTGGTAGAGTTTGTGGAGTACTTGATGAGATGAAGGAATCTAAATTTGAGATAGAGAAGCTATTCCAGCATATCACATTTAGTTCATCACAAAGAGAGAGTATTATGAGAGCAATTGTTGCTGTGAACCCAGACTATAAACCTGAAGGAAATCAACTCACAAGTATTTGTAATGTACCACTCTTAGAAAATATTTACCGCAGCAAAGAGAGCTTGGAAGAGGAGGTCAGTAGAAATTGAAGATGTTGTATTTTGCTAAATATGTTTTCATATTTTGAGTTTGTTTTGTATCAACGGCCGTGGTCGTCACGCAGTGTGTATTTTATTTTACACAGAGACGTTGACGCAAAATGACGACCACTGCCCTTTAACCTTTTCACCACCAGTTCCATCTTTTCATCACAAATTCATAAAATAGTCCCGTTTATAGTCTGTACTTTTCTTCAGAAGATTGGAACAAAAAAAAAAATGTTTGAGTTAAAACTTAAAGTTGGATCAACGATTAGGGTTCTTTTCCAGAAATATTGAAGAATATGAGAAAAAAGGGCAGAAAAATTTGGGCGAGAAAGTCAGTTGATGAAAAGGTTAAGAAATATTGTGTGATTACCAACATGCACGGGATGTGTGCAAATAATCATAATTGACAAGTAGTAGGTTGTTTAAGAATGATATTATTCACACCCTGTTGTGCAGCAATGGTCATTGTGAGGTGTTTTGATGACAATGCTGAGAGTAATACATAAATCCATTTTGTATGACATATATGTTGTCATGAGTGCATATCCAATAGCAGCACATATAAACCAAAAGATGTGTTATATTGTATACTGTATCAACCATAAATGTATATGTTATTTACATAAGTATTTGATAATACATGTCCAGGGATTTTTTTAAACAAGGGAACAGGGGCGCAGCGCCCTCATGCCATGGCCATGTGCCCCCTTACCCTGGGGAGCAGATCCTCTGGCAACCATAAAATTCTGATTGACCAGGGATCATGTGTGGCCAGTCTTCAACTCTGACCTGTCTGATAGTAATTTTGGTCCCAAGGAAGCCATAGAATGCTTCATTTTAACTTAGAATTATCCCTGGTAGGGAGAACTCATCTCCCCCACTTGGTGGCGCCGCTGAATTGCTGTGCTCCCTCTTGCAGTTTTTTTCTAGAAAAAATCCCTGATGTCTGTAAATAATAAGTTGACAATTTGTTATAGAGCTTGGTAATATATATTCATGAACGTTTTCATTGACTTATTGCTCATTTTATTACATGCATAATAAAATGTATTTAAACATTTGTATTCCCCAGGTGGAGAAGGATGCTTCCAGGAACAACAGGAGTGGATATCATTGTTTGTTTGATTCACAACAATTACAGAAAGCTGTAAGACGACAGATAAATATAGAACTAGGTGGTGGTATGAAAGTCAAATCAATTGAATCGCCAGAAATTCTATCCAATGATTCTGTTAAAAAGGTATGTTGAAATTTGCCATAGCTCTGACCCCATGTTAGCTGACAGAAAGGGCAGTTATGGGTGACTGTACTGTATTCACAGGGTCCATAGCATTGGGAAAATCTTTTGTAAGTCTGGATTTTTTGAGATTTGGGAAGTTTTTGGGTTGTCTTTAAATTACAGGAAAAATAAAATAATTTCTTCAAAGTTATTAATTCATTTTAGAAAGGCCAGTTTTCTCCATAAAACTACCATATCTTCAGAATTTTGATGGCTTTGGTGATGATGTTGGCCTGAATTAGGGGTCAAAATGTCATGGAAAATGCAAGAAAGTTTGAGAAAAGGTGTGGAAAAGTCAAGGAAATAATTTGGCTCTTGGTGCTATGGACCCAGATTCAACAATGAAAAACTCCTTATTTTTAATGAATGTTTTTTTGATTATCACTCTGATTAAACTCGGCTGTTTATTCAAGTGAGAATAAGCCAACTGTTTTGCAAGCCATTTTCAAAATTAGCATAGCAAAATAGCAAAATTAGACTTGTCATTTCTTGTGATGAACTTTTTAAAATGATCTGGTTTTCAGGGTAGAATACTTGAAGAACACGTTGAAATGTGGAGACAAGTGTTGAAGTCATCATTCATGTCATTCAGAACTAAAAAGACAGGTAAGACTTTCCCTTGTTACTGTACATGTTTTTAACCATCAAATCTGTGATTCAATTCCCAAATAAAATGTCTTCAAATTTGTATTTAATCTTTTATGTTTTGTTTCAAAACTTTTACAGGTCCCAGTTCGAGCACATTCTATTCATCTGAAAATGGAGGGGGGGGGGGCTGATAATTTTACCGCTGTATGTGTGCGTGTGTTCGTGTGCATCCATGCGTTGACTTTTGTATCTTTGACATGCCTGGACTGGTCACATTCAAACTTATCAAATACATTTTATTAGTCTCTGTTTAAGATGTCAGAAACCGAGACTATTAATTAATTTGGATGATGTCTGTCCATTCCGTCCGTATATTCAAAAACCATTTCTTACACATGCATGCTTTGACCAATCACATTATGACTTAACACAGACCATGTAGGATGACTTAAATATGCACATCAATATTTGATTAATTATAGCTGATTTGTGGCCATTTTAGTCTTCAAAATTGCTGAATTTTGATGCTCAAATGTGTCCGTGACACCTTCAAAATTATCAAATTAATATACACGATTTACCGATTTTGAGACAATAAAGTTTTGACTAATATTTATATTGTAGGGCACAAGTGGAAGATGGATCCATTTTATTTCGTTCTTCAGCCTGACGAATACATTGAAGTGTTATTGAATTACATCCCCCAGATAGCGTCGAGTACAGAGGGTGAATCGTTACTGTCAGCATCCAATGAAATAGGATCCCGACTTTTCAAAAAATATGATTTACAGCATAAACAGAAGAGTGGCTTAGCGGATAAGGTGAGGATATTATGCTGTGTACATGCTTCTATAGATAGCTGAAAAACAAACTGGAATGAACATTAGCCATTTTATTCTCAGACTTGCTAATTTGCAATTGCAATATTATGTAATATTTTGTGTTCATCACTCAGATAATTTTGACAATTGTTTGAATTGACATGGTCGTTTCTAAATATGCAACTTGCTTTTAGCTTATCTCTAGTAACTTGCTATTATTAATATGTCAACATTCATACTTTTGTGTATGAAAAAATAGACAACTTTCGAGTTCTGTCAAAACTTGTGCTACTCTAGTGTAGTGTAAAAATATTAAAATTTTGCAACCATTAAATTAATATTGCTAGAAATGTTCATGATTTTAGAATAACATGGTGTTCATGACAATTAAATTTCGCAAAAATCTCTAACACTATATCGTAGGTCCCAGAGAAATTTTCGCTGCTTCAAAATTTCACACTTTTTACTGACTGGCGAGATTTGCTGAAATTTGTCATGAAATTAAAGCTTCTTATAGTAGTATCAGATCACGTACATGAATATTACTGAGGGTTAAAATGTAGTGATTGACGATAGTTGACTTTAGGTTAATTCTTAATTTTTGTAGATCAGTGATATGTACAAGGACTACGTGGCTGCAACATTGGATGATGATTTGATGACAAAATATCAATACCGTGAATACTGGCAGAAACTTGACAATGAAGGCTCATGGGGGCCAAGCTTGGTAAGTTCTTTGATGCAAGTTTGAGTGTTGCTCGAGTCAGAAACAAATAATAAATGTGCCTGAGGGCATCACGGCTAAACTGGAAATGGAGTCAGCAGGAATAGATGTCCTACCAGTTTGCCTTGGTATGCTTTGAAAAGTACTGATTTTTCTTAGGTTATTCTTGTACAATTTAGCCAAATTCAAATTTTGCACTGAGCATGTTACTTGCACATGTATGTGTATAAATGTAAAACTATTTTCACCCAGGAACTTGCTGAATTATACTGAAGTCAGTTAGTTGAAATGCATTTACAGTCAAACCTGTGTTAACGACCACCTGTGCAGAGCGGCCACCTGCTCATAGCGACCACCTTAGTACAGTCCCTTCGCAATTTACACGTTAAAGACACTGGATATAGCGACCACCTGTCCAACGCGACCAGCGACCACCCTATTGTAGACCTATTCACACTTTAACCTTTGTATAACGACCACCAACATTTCCATCAGACTGTCTCAGCAAAAAGACAATAGCTACTTGCGAATCGCTAACAGGAAAGTGGCCATATGTTATGTTCAGATTACAGAGTACGCAATCTTTAGGGCTAATAGACAGGGGTACCATCGCAACTTGGTTTGTGAAGTTGCGAAAAAGTAAAAAAAAAAA